TAATTTATTTAGTATATACGCCTAAATCAAATAAATGTAAGAGAACAGCTATAAAAAAGCAATTATGGATATTTCTTGACAGTTTATCGAGCACAGTTATTTTTTTTAAAGCACCTCTTGGTTCATTTCATCTTTTTCCAAAGCGATATTCAATTTTCTTTTAATTGTTGATACTAAGTGGTAAACCATAGAGGAAAAGCTGCAATACTAACAGGTTCATTTCAAATCAAAATGAGAAATTTCTCAAGTTATTGACCCTTCCATTTTATTTTGTCACCGTTGTTTTCTCGATCCCATATTTTCACACCCCTCCAAAACACACCCAGTGAAATTATTTCTCTTTATCCAGAGAAAAATTAGCTTCCCTGGTACCTAGTGAAATTTCGGATTCAACCAGTTCATTTGTTTGCTTCCCAGCAAAGACAATCACATGTATTCAATTATCAGTTTCGATTTAACAGCTGAGAAGTACTAGGTAGTTACTGTGCCAAACAAAAGCCGGATTTGATTGGGGCACACAAATTTTATCAGTTAAACTGTAGTCAACTTATTACCAATCCACTTGTTTTGGCCTGACATAAAAAGTTAAGTCTGAAGTTCTGAAGTGCAAGCTATTTCGCAGATATCAAAGTGATAACAAAAAGACTGAAAGAGGCCAAGCTGAGAAGCAAAAGGACACCAACAATTATGATAAAATGTTCTGCACTTTTTTAAAAAGGGTAGATACAGGGTAAAGATAGGTGTGGGTGTCCCACCCACCCTTTCTAAGGCAAAAGTTCGGCAGTCTATATAAGGAATTAAAACTCAGTCAATAGGAGAGAATGGTGGCTAGCAGTTGGAAGAAATTGAATGGCTGTTTGTGAAGAGATTGTCTAGAACAAGCTAAAAGATAAGGATCCGTAACCTGAGGGAAAGAAACTAAACAACAAACAATTCATTCCTGTTTCACAAATGGAGTTTTAATCTTTTAAACAAGTGACATAAATTCACAATGAGAAAACCTTTCTAAGCAGTGCTCACACATGAAGGTTATAGGTACAGCTGTTAGTTTGTTAATTAAAGCAGCAAGGAGCCCATGAGTGGTTTCATTTATGTCTGTTTCAACTTTGCACAGAACAGCCAAAAATATGTTCTTTGATTCTTTGAAGTGACAATGTTATAGCAGGTTGTATAAAACAATGCTACCCCTGCAATTTTCTTTCACAAAATAATGCGTAACAAATTTAATATAATATACATTGACAGTCTGTTTTCAAAGCGTTCTGAAACCAACAGGAGTATAAGAGAGTCTGCATTACATCAAGCGAATGGCAGTTCTTCCTGTAACAATTAGGAAATCTTCATCTCGCAAGATCTTCAGTGCATCATCAAATTGCTCTCTGGATATTGGCTGAAAATCAAATACAAAGTAGACATTAGGAAGAATGAGGATTTTGAGGACGGAGCTATGATGTGTTAAAACTTGTGCATTCTCTTTACTATCTGCCATATATACCTTTCTTATGATGTAAGTTTGAAGAATTTGGTATTGGATCAACTAATAATTCTCTAATTGATAATTTTTTAAAGAAATTCTGTCTTGGTTGCTCATGGGAGTGAAGCGGTTGAGAAAATTTTGCATCCACCATATATGGCAAGTTCCAGACAAATGGAATTCAAAATAAAGGGGGTAGGTTTGAAAGAAACTTTGGTGCTGCATCAGTGGGCAGTATAACAAAATAATTAGGTTAAAGGTAAATTGGCAACCATAAAGAGTATATTAATAGTTTCATAATAGCTTGATTACACTTCACTGAAATATTTCTTTGGTATAAATGTTGAGTAAAAGTAGACCAGAGCAGGCCACAGTTCCTTACTCACCAAATCAGAAGCTTCTTTCAACTCCTCGTAAGTCTGCTGATACTTGACAGAGGGTGTTTTGCCTTTGCTCTGTAACAGTTCTTTCAGAGCCTTTGCAATTTCAAGCCGTCGTTTCCTGTCAGAAACACTCAAGCCAGTTGTAAGAATGTTGACATCTATCAGCCCTGTCTTGGGGTCAGTGGCTGACTGTTTCAAAGCTTCACGGTGCAGTCTGTGGAAATCAATATCAAGATTTAGAACAGTCTTCCATAAGTCAAATACTGGTAATATTCTTCAAAATCAGAGTAAAACAAGTTTATACTGACATCTTAGACATAAAGACTTTGACCCTGTAGATGGGTTGTTTACAACATTTTTTTTCCTAAAAGGAACGGATTTATGGAGGAAAATGAAAAGGATACCTGGTAGACATTTTAAAACACAAGCAGAAAAAGAAACAAAGAGGTTTTGGTGAAACAGCTTAGCTACCCCTGTGCAAATATTCCTACAAAGAAATGTTTAGAAACATTTTGTTCATTTGCTGTTTGTAAACATGAGTTTCTTTCAGACCACAGAACAAAAATAATTAAATCAGGAAGCCCATATAAGTTGAAACAATTATTGTAAAAAGTCATGATTCCATGATCATTACCAAACAATCTTTTTCATACAGGTCCTCATACCTTCTGGCTTCTTCCACATCAATATTTTCAACTTTGGATGAAAGCCGCATCCTGGCGTGGGCCTCAGCAAGGCGAATCAGCGACTCCAGCTGACGAGGATAAGCAGTGATTGCACCACGGCTGCTACCAACTTGACGCATCTCTGTCAAAAAAACAAACAACAATAAAAAAAACATGTTTGAGTGTTAGAATCCTCCTGTTTTTACTACTGTTGCTGTGATTGCTTGTTTGTTAGATAATTTTAAACGGATAATTATTTTCTGATCTGTTAATTAAAATTCTTAACTCAATGTTGGTAACAAACAAAGAAGAAAAGAAGGAAGGAAAGAAGGAAAGAAAGAAAGAAGGAAAGAAGGAAGGAAAGAAGGAAGGAAAGAAGGAAAGAAGGAAAGAAGGAAGGAAAGAAGGAAGGAAAGAAGGAAGGAAAGAAGGAAGGAAAGAAGGAAGGAAAGAAGGAAGGAAAGAAGGAAGGAAAGAAGGAAGGAAAGAAGGAAGGAAAGAAGGAAGGAAGGAAA